AAATGAACACGAGCTTATTTCAAACAAACTAAATTTTAAACGAACCGAACACGAACACAAGCTTTGTTCGTTCGCGTTCGGTTCGTTTACACCCCTAGTATTAGGGTTTGAAAGTGAGATTTTATCATGTTATTGTTTAGGACAATTAGCGGCTTTTGTTTATCCTTTCGAGGGTTGTGGGTTTGAGTTGTGCACTAGCTGTATCTCTTTCTTGAGGTGGTAATTATCTTCTCTATCCCCTTTTGTATCTCTTTTGTTGCTCTCGGCCGCACCGTCCATGCTACAACCACCCGGGACAGCGGCTGCAGTTTTCCCTTTTCCAATGGCTTCCCTTCCTTCCCTCCTCGTTGACATCATGCACGACCGCCTCCACCCTTCACCAATCTTACCGCATTACTTTCAGTTGTCGATCCTTGCTGTCGCCATCCGGAAAACAACAATTATGTTGTTTCTCTGCTGTCCAACCATCCTTTCGACTTGTTGCCACTTGGGCTGCAGCCTGTCCTGCTCTCCTTGCAGTCTCCGCTTTCTTCCTTCAAACCGGACAGCACTCCTCTTGCTGTCCTGCAGTCCATTTCCCTTCCCCACCTTTCCTTCTATGTTTTTTTCGTTTGGAGTCTATATATATATATATATATATATATATGATGTTTTCTAGATATAGGGTTAGATTTTATGTGATTTCTTCTTTCTGAGTTTTTATGGTAAGAGATAAACTGTAAGAGACCAAGTCTCCGGCTCGGATTTTTTTAAAATGTGATATGAGATAACTTATAAAATGAATAAGAACTACTACGTTATCATCTTGATATATTCTCATATTTCTTATAAGCATTTAACATAATTTTATAACTCTCATTTTGAAAAAGTAGTTTACTTTTTATTTTAATATCAAAATGAAATTATATGCCTGCTCGGCTGCTCTACAAAATTAAAATAGGGATGTATCGGTGATGATAGAAAATCTGTAGGCTTTTTAATTCAAAATATGCACCAAGTCAATGGGTGAATCTCCAACTTCTACGAGCAATTTCTGCTATAGGAAATAACACGTCCCAATTCATTAAATCGCCACCAATAAGACAGGAAAAATTTTTAATTTTTTGTTGAGAACTTCAATCTGTTCATTTGTAGCGTATGAAGACTTTTGTTTAGTTCCAAAAATGTTTCTTGAGATTTTGTAGATGTAATTTTCAAATCTTGCTTCTCCATCTGATCTACTTTTTACTTTTTGATTACTTCATATTATATATAGAATTTTTCATACTGGTGAGTTTTAGTTTCTTAGTAACATCGTATTCTTTCCTTGTGTTCTTAGGGCTGGGATGATCCATACATTCCTCGCACACATGAAGGTCTTTTAAAGTGGAAATATGCTGAAATGAATTCAGTCGACTTCCTGTTTGAGGTAGTAGTTTAAAACCATTTTTTTAGCATTTGATATAATTGTGTTTTTCAGTGGACTTCCTGTTTGAGGTAATAGTTTATTTTGGCGATCTTTGCTGCTTGTCAGCAGACTGGGACTGACAATCGCCAATCAGTTTTTCTTTATGAGAGAGGAAAGAAGAAGCTTATGGATGGTTGCCGAGTTGCTTTTAAGGGTAACATTCTTCACCTTTTATTCCTATTTTCCATCTATATTTCATGCTCTAGTTCCTTTGACATTCATTATTTACTCAGTAATATAACTTTTGGTCAAATTTGCTTTTTGCTGTAACATCTCTGCATGCTGATCTTGTATATGCACTCATTCGTATGTTGCTACAATTAGAACCCCCAATGCCCAATTACAACTCTGTGCTAACCAATAGATAGGTTTTGGGTTGCATATGTGACGCCTCTCAAGTAAAATGAAGCTGAACTCTTAAATATAGAGTCGCCTTTTGGTGTAATGGTTGGAATTTTATTAAAAACTCCAAAGTTAAGCCTGCTCTCATATGAGCCAGGATGGGTGACATATTGAGAAGTTACAACAATGGTGCAAAATCTTGAAGCCATTATGCCAAAAAGCACACTTTATAAACTTGTTGTTTGGGCTATTTATAGATGGTAACATAGCTTTATCCCAACTTGATAGATTGGAACTGAGTGCCTTATAGGAAAAAGTCTTATGTCATGGGAGCCATCCCTTGAACTCTTGATGTGACAAAGTGCTTCATGGTGGGAGTCATCTCTTGAATCTGTAGTAGTTGATTTTAGGTTAAGAAAATTATCGATGACGTCCACTAAATAAGTGGAGAAATTGTGAAACACCTTAAGTACAATGAAGCTGAACTCTTCAAGATCAAGTTGTTTTTTTGTGTTACAGTTCAAATTTTATCAAAAACACCAAAGTTAAGTGTGCTCACATGGGAACACTCTTAGGTTGGATGACCTTCTGGGAAGTTACATCAATGGGGTAAAATTATGAGGCCATTAAACCTAAGAAGAAAATACCTAGATTGTTGAGAGCTTGGGCTTGTTACAACATGGCCATTTTAGTTTCATCTCTCATGCAAAGATTATCTTTAGGCCACTTAGTACAGACTATAAACTTGATGTGCTATTTAGATACAAAGTCTACCTCGTATATCTCACACAAGTTTATAAACTGCACTTAAAAATTCCCTGATGTAGTAGTCACTTGTCTTGGTGATGGGACCCACACTCCTCAATTTTTGTGATGTTGAAACTTTTGATGATGACAGATTATGGTTTTTGATTATGGGCAGTGGTATACTGAATGGTGTTGCATGTTTATTTAAGAAATACATGAATTTACTTTGTTGGTAGTCTAACCTTGGCCTTTTGCTTGGAGAGGATAATTTACCAGTCGCCTAAGAAGCTGATTTCACATTAACATTATGCATGCAGAAATTCTATTCTAAAGATTGAGCTTAGAACAGTGATTGGATTTTGCTACCATTTTGAGTAGGATCTCACATATTTGATTCACGGAAAAAAGCCTACTATGGTGATACAACAACACGCACTAGCATCTCCCAAATTTCTGCATTGGATGACCCTCCAGCGTTGAGTAAGCTCGCCCAAATACTTGCATATATGTATTCGTGGTGATGAAATCAATGACTTAAAGATAAATAAAGTAATACTGAAAGAAACTTGCATGGCTTGCTTTTGTTTGTTAATTTTTAATTTTGTGTGGGAATGTATATTGAACCGCAATTTGTGCACTTCTATTCATTCTTATGCTTCTGTTTTGGGTGTATATCATTATATATTTTTATTTGAAGTAAAATATATTAACTAGATAATGTGATGAGTAGAACAATGGCATTTACAGAGAAAAGCCAGAGAAGAAAGGAAAATACTACAAAACAAAAAACTTACAAAGTATTTAATTGGATTGAAGCCTAGTGAAAAATGTATATATTCTTGTTATTCCTATCATTTATGATATTAAGGATATGAAATTTTGTATCCACCATAAATTGTATGTAATTAAATCATAATCAGCCTTGTCCCAATTATTTGAATTCAGTTTTGTAAATTTTTATTTTTCATTATTTCCATTGAGTGTTGTTTGAGATGTTAAGTATGCTCTTTGTAAATTCTTTTGAAATTTTTTTTTGTCTATGTAAACTTACATCTTCTTCCTCTCTCTTCTAGTGCTCTAGTTCTAATTTCTTTTATTAGACTGATGGGCTCATTTTCTATCGTTCTTTTAAATGTTTGATAGATATCACTCCTACTACTAGCTAATATAATTATTTCTTAATTAATCCTTTTTGGCTTTTCTATATTTCCACTGTAACATTCTCACATGCGCCACACTCAACTTAAATACAACCACCTTGTTATCACCAAATTTTTGGATTGAGACGACATCATCGTTCTAGCTGCAATTTTACAAGACATTTTTCAGAAAATTTCCATGATATTATCTTTTTACGGACGCTTAAAAAATTAATTTTATAATTTGTATCCTACATAAAAAATTGATATTAGTGGGCTTTTTATATTTATAAAATGTAAGATTGTAGTTTTGTCGTCACAAATGTACAATTTGGCTGTAGTATTGCATGATAGTGCTGTGGGGGAAATTTTTTTTCCTTGTTTTTATTATTCAACTGTGTAATTCTTTATTTAAAATACAATATTATGGAGCTTCTACATAAACAAATACCTTTTATTAAACATTGCGGACTTTGGTGTTTTGACATTTTCCTATGTTAACTTTTCCTCCAAAGTTAAAACATAAATTGAGGAGTTTTGAGTTCCTTTTCAGAGTTATCTATTGTTGGTTTTAATTTGCAATGTTGCGAATGATCATTTTCTTTGATAAAATATTTTTGCCTGTGAAGTTATTGTTTACTTTTATATTTAATCTTTCATGGAAGATAAGATTTATGACAATATAGATATCATCCTGATTATCATAGCTTAAAATCATAGGTTGAGTAATGGAAAAATTAAACCCCTCAAGCATTGTTTTTATTTAGTTCCGTATCAAAGATATCTATTGTTGGTTTTAATTTGCAATGCTAGGAGTGATCATTTTCTTTGATAAAATATGGTTCCCTCTGAATTTATTGTTTACATTTATATGTTATGTCTTTCATGGAAGATGAGATCTATGAATATATATATATATATATATATA